TCAAATATGAAACAGTACTAAAAAATACTAAGTTCAAGTTCTAAACATCATGACATGTGCTTGATGATGTTTTCATTTGGGATTGGTATGGTTGAACTAGATAAGGAAGTTTTTTTCGCCATACTCTTTTCTTTTACGAAATCATTTGTAATTGCTGAGTGATTTTGTGCTCTGTTGATACTGTTCTCTAGCTATCTCTCATTCATGTGATTTTTTTAAAAAAGTGCATAAAACAAGAAAAGCACCCATGCCTAGACCTCACCTAATTTTTATTCCTGCACCAGCTCCATTCGCGCTCCATTTACAAATGGCGGAGTTTCTTATCAGTGTAGTGAAGCTTTGTGCATGAGTGTACACTCAGAGCATATTCAAACTGGCTTTGGAGTATAAGAAAAAGTAGATTTAAGCGAATAACATGGAGGTCTTACAGGGAAGAAATTTAAGGGAGATATGATTGATGATGATGATCACCAGTGAAATGAATTATTTAGCCCATTATTTTTGTAATGCTTTTTTCAGTCTTCATTTTGGAGATGATACATAGAAGTACAGGATCTCTCATTTTGATTTCCTCCAGTAAATATGTGCTCACTGTTTTGTTTGTTCCCATAGCTTATAATATGTCCTCTAAGACAATCTAAGGGAATGTTTTCCATAAAACTTCCTGGTAAAGTCCATATCCACAGATTCTTTATTCACGAATTCAACCATTAACAGCTTGAAAATATTGAAAAGATATAAATTCCAAAAAGCAAACCTTGATATTGCTATTTTTGTTATAAGGAACACCATTTCACTACACCATTGTATTTAATGGGACTTGAGCGTCCATGGATTTTGGTATCCCTGGGGGTTCCTGGAACGAAAACCCAGCATATATCAAGGGCCCACTGTATAACACTGTTGGAAAAATAATGTTGATGGATGTGTTGTAAACAGTCCATAAAACCAATCACCAAAATCTGGTAACTTCAGCAAGCTTTTTTTATTGTAAAAACAGCATGAGCAAAAACAAATAATAATAATAACAATAATAGCATCTTCACTTTAGCCCAAATGGCTAAACAGGAACAAAGCCTATCTGCTACATGATTCAAAGTTAGTTAGTTGTAGCATCAGGAGAATACTTTAATTAGTCCATTACAGCTCAAAGGTTAAAGAACAAGTGTGAGACTTTTCTAGATCACAACTTTCAGCCCCCAATCCTCCACCCCTTTGGGTGTAGCCCTTTCAGACTGATTGGTTGATGATGCATGACGTGTGTTAGCCCAACCTTTAATTACCATACTAAATCATGTGACTGCAATTCCCATAACATTTTACATGTTTATAAATCCTTTATGTAAACAAAGCTCTTTCTCACAGAACTGAAGTTTGTTAACTGCTTGTTTGGGCTAAAACACACCTGGGCTGATAATTGTGATTCTGGCCTCAGAAAACAACTTTTCTCAGCAAGAAAAAATACAGACACACATCTTTACATTTCAACATTTTAACATTGACTCTATGTCCCATCAAATTCTAACAAACACAAATGCTGTATTGAGTAATTTTACATGACTAATATAACTGTGATTATGAATTTTATGTTTCTTACATATCAACTGCTATATTTTTTTACCATTAAAGAATGGTCCATAAAAATGTTACTGGATTTCAATTTTCTTTTTATGTATGTTTATTTAATTTCCTTATTTATATTCCTGGCATTGTCCACAATAATATATACAGACCCTGGTAATCTCATTGGCTATGTAGATCTTTCAGATAGCTGCTTACTTCCTTGGAAGAGATATTAAATGTAAATTCACATTCATATTGTTGGTAATATAGAAAACTCAGTATTCTAAATGCTGCATAGATCTTCTTTAATTTAAGGGGGTATTGTAATACACACAAAAACATTATTCAGATGTAGTATATTTCAACACCTTACAGTACTCATTGGGCCTAAGCAGACTGCCAGAAATAGTGCACATTAAATTGAGGCACTGCCCTGGCTCAGTGCTAGGGAATCATGGGAACTGTAATTTATTGTGGCACCAGAGCTCTCTGACAGAGAAGGCTCAATATCTCAGAAAAAAATACAATTTCCATGACTCCCTAGCACTGAGCCAGTGCAGTGCCTCAATTTAATGTGCACTATTTCTGGCAGTCTGCTTAGGCCCATTGCTAAGTCATTGCTGGAAAGGACTGATGCATTTTAGGTGGGATTATTGCAGAACTGTTTACGTTGTAAGTAAGGTGTAAAGGCATATTTAGGCAGTGTCAGTGTTGATTGGATAGTGATGACAGAAAATATTTTTCATCAAAGTATATGCCAGGGGTAGGCAACCTTTCCCCTTTAAGGGCCGAGGAACTTCAGCTCCCAGAATCCCAGGAGCTATTGGCCAACATGGGACTATTGGCCAACATGGTTGAGGCTTCTGGGAGCTGAAGTCCCTCGGCCCTTAAAGGGGAAAGGTTGCCTACCCCTGGTATATGCCATAAATAATATAGTTGTTCCTCTGCTAGAAAGTTAACTGTTCTTTCCATTTGTTAGACCTAATAGCTGCATAGAACTTGAATTATGCTGTAATAATTTTTAATGGCATCCATTCGACAGAAGGACTGTTTATATCAGACCTTACTTTTTCAAACTTGTATATGTTAAGTGACTTTTGAAGTCTGAACTCTTGCTAGACATAGATGTATACTTTGGGGGGGGGGGGAAGCAGACGTCCCTGAAGAGGCATCTTGAAGTTACCCCTTCTGAAGACGGATGGCGCTGTGGCAAACACATGCCATGGCCCCAGTCCACCTTGAAATCATCTGGAAAAGGACCAGCAAAGATCTCCTCCTTTTATGGCTGGCAAAAAGCAGTTTTTTCTTGCCCTGCTGTGGTTTGAAGCCAGCAGCACGCTGCTCTGGCGGTGTGTGGCATATAAACACTATGCCACATGTAATCAATGCACTCTGATGATGCCCTGAAGGCGTTTTTTTATGGGACATCTGTTCCAGTCTAAGATGTTATCAGCTTCTTTTGTGCACTGAAATTCCTGTTGTTTTTTTTAAATTTTATGATCAATTTTTGGTCATTAAATTGCTATAATATCATCTTGGTCAGTTGCTTGCCAGATGTGCTAGGGATATGTCCTTTGCCCCATTGCCTGCTGAAGCCTTGATTTACATTTAAGTGCATTCAACATGACTGACCAATACACAACAGGAATCCATACTTTTAATATTGGGATATTTGGCTTGCTTCAAATCATCTCAGGCTTCTTCAATTCACAGTAGCTGATATTGTGTCCATCTAGTCCAGTGATTCCTAAACTTTAGTCCTCCAGATGTTCTGGACTTCAGCTCCCAGAAACCCTAGCCAACTTGGCCAATAGCCAGGAATTCTGGAAGTTGAAGACTAAAACTTCTGGAGGACCAAATTATAGGAACCACTGATCTAGTCCATATTGACTGACAAGTGACAGCAGCTCTCTTTCATCTCATGTTGAGATCTTTCACTGGCTGCCTGATATTTTTCACTGGAGAGGCGAGGAACTGTAAAGCATGTATTTTGCTAAGAAGGTGGGGTCCTTGCTCAAGAAAAGTGTCACCAGTTTGATCTGCTGAAGGAACTGGAACTGGAAGCATCCAATTATATAGATGGACACAATATCAGCTACTGTGAATTGTAGTCTGAAATTACTCTGCTTCTATTTTAATATAGGCACATATGGTAGATGCTCATTTACCTGTTTTGGCTATTATCTATATATGAAATGTTACCTTGGATAAAACCACTTAAAGTGACTGCTGCCTTGAAGTACTTTTAAGCAACTTTTTCACATCTCAGAGATGTAAGATGAGTAGCTCAAATTCTGCTTGAAAACTTTATTGTAGCTCACACACATGGTCCATATTAGTGGTTAAACGTAAAGGTAGTCCCTTGACATGAATGTCTAGTCATAACCGGCTGTGGGGGGTGGTGCTCATCTCCGGAGTTTATCACACGGGGGAAATCCCGTGCGGAAATGGGGCTTTAAATTAAACAAAACCCGTAAAAGCGGGTGTTTTTTCAGACGACGTCACTGTTAAAAGGAGGTTAATCCACACGGAAATTAGACAAAAACTGCTTTTTACTTTCGGAAGATCCCAAAAGTAAAAAGAAACAGTTTTTGTCTAATTTCCATTTGGATTAACCTCCTTTTAACAGCGCTGGAGTTTATCACACAGAGAAATCTTTTGTGGTTTTTTTTTTTCTCTTTAAAGTACATTTCTGCATGGGGCTCCCCGTGCGATAAACTCCTAAGTTACTAAGCCAAAGAGCCAGCGTTGTCCGAAGATGAATCCGGTGGTCATGTGGTCAGCATGACTGCACCAAATGCTGTTACCTTCCCACCAAAGTGGTACCTATTTATCTACATGTATTTGCATGCTTTCAAACTGCTAGATTGCCAGAAGCTAGAACTAGTGACAGGAGTTCACCCCATCATGCAGCACTCAGGTCTCAAACTGCCAACCTTTCGATCTTCCAGTTATCAGAACTGATGTCTTAACCACTAAGCCACCATATCCCTAGTGTTTAGTGGTTATCTGCTGCTAAAACCAAAGGTTAAGCAGCATTTTTCTGTATCAACCACAGCTTCCAAACAATCTACAAAGTCAACTCTCCTGTGACATGTATTACAATAAAAAATTATTAGAATTACTAGAGCATGAATACCCATGTGACTTTTTCCCCAGAGGCCACCCTTCTCTTTCACTCAGAACTGAGGGGGAAATGTCTCCTGTATTGTTTACTTACATTAATTGTGAAAGTACACAAGGCATAGTTCTTACAATCCAACAGTATCTCTATAAAATGTTGTTGTGTCCCTTCAAGTCCTTTCTGACCTATAGTGCCTCTAAGGTGAACCTATCATAGGGTTTTCTTGGGAAGATTTGTTCAGAGGAGGTTTTACCATTGCCTTTTTCTGAGGTTGAGAGCATGTGACTTGCCCAAGTTACCCAGTGGGTTTCCATGGCTGAGCTGGGAATCGAACCCTGGTCTCCAGAGTCATAGTCCAACACTTAAACCACTTTGTCATGCTGGCTATCCTATAAAAAATTAAGCCAATCTCTGTTCTCCCTGAGGTTATTACCATATCTTCTTGCCATTGGGTGTGTTTGTCTGTATGTTTAAAGTGATTCAGTCAGAGAAAGCAGCCGAGTAACTGATAAGAGCTAGCACACCAATGCAAGCCTGAAACACAAAAGCAGTTCAGAAAGTACAATACCAGTCCAAATGTTCCAAGAAGCAAAATCAGAAGCAAGTCAAGGGTTCAAGAGTCCAGAGAGCAAGTCAGTAAGTCCAGTAAAAGGTCAAGGGTTCTAGCAAGCAGGCCATCGAGTCGAGTCCAAAGGACAGGGGTTTCAAGGCAATCTGAGGTCTATGAAGCCAGGCAGTCAGAATCAGATGCTTTCTCCAGAGAATGAAGATAAACTCTGACAGAGAAGCTTGGCGTCTCCCAGCTGTTTATATTGGTCCAGCTCCCAATCACAGCTGTTTGGTCTTAGCTGAGCATTTCTCATATAATCTCAGAGACCGCCGGAGGCACGCCCTTTCTGTCCTTCTCTGTCTAAAGGTAGGTACCTCCTCATCCTGATCCTCTATATCTCCCAGGCCTGGAACCTCTGCTGGACGGAGGCTTTCTGCTGGGGGGAGGCTAGGATGCTGAGGCAGGAGCTGTGCTTCAGTGGGTACGATAGAGTCCTGGCTCAGCCAACTCCACTGGAACTGGTAGAGCAAAGCTAGAACCTGGCTCAGCCTCCTCATCCTCTGAGTCCTCCATGTCCTTAGCCTGGCTGGTCGTGACAGATTCTTATTTTTAATCAGTTTTATTAATATTTTATTTTATTAAGTTAAGATGTGATTTTATTAAGATGTGCCTCTTGCACATCAGGCAAAGTGTAATTTCTAGTACAAGTGAAGAAATGATCAGATGGAACAATTCAAAACCACTCCCATGCACACAAATGCCACCTAAGCCTTGTAGGAGCAAAAATAAATCCAACTGAGGAAGCAAATCTGTTTTGTTTGCATTGTATCAGTGATTGTCATGATTGCTCTGATCACATAGATTAAGCCAGTGCACGCAGATATATCTTCTTAGGGCCTTTACAGACTGCCAGAAATAGTGCAGCTTGAGGCCACTTTAACTGTCCTGGCTCAGTGCTAAGGAATCATGGGAATTGTGTTTTTTTTCTGGGACATTGAGCCTTCTCTGTCAGAGAGCTCTATTGCCACAATAAACTACAGTTCCCATGATTCCCTAGCACTGAGCCAGGACAGTTAAAGTGGCCTCAAGCTGCACTATTTCTGGCAATTTGTAAAGGCTCTTAGTTGCCTGTCCCAGCTAGAGCGGACCCACTGCTGCAGACCCAATTGCTGTAAATCTACATCTTTTTAAATTCATTTATTTAGTATGTGTATCCTACTTGGGACTAGCAAGTGAGTTTAATCTTATCAGAGGGAGTAGAACTTGGCACATGCTCTTATACTTTCTTCCCAATTTAGTGCAGTTTCATCAGGCCAGTCTATATCGAGAAAATGCTACTTAATTTAGTGCAGTTTCCTCAGGCCAGTCCATATGGAGAAAATGCTACTTAATTCAAATGGAGAGAGTTGAGATGCACAAGGCTTAAAATGCTGTGTGGACTACAGTATATTTTTCATAACGTCTGTTCAAGGATTGAAAGTTAATGAGATTACAGTTGCTAAACTGTACGGAAAAGATGCTGGACTCAGGTTTAGTCTACATGTAAGTATATTATGTGAATTGCTGCAGATTTTCACACGTTGGCATTGGTGCTTAAGTATTTTCACTTTCCTGTGCAAATTTGTATCTTTTTGTCCTCTGCAAACATACACGGCCATGCAATTTCATGTTATTTCATGTGAAGCAGGCAGATGGCTGCATGTTCAATAATGTGCATCCTCACGGATACGCTGGCAAAACTGAATCCTTTTTTCTCTACGTTTTTTGGGGTTCCCCTCCCCCTCGGCCCAAATTCCTCTGAATCACAGGTGGCCAAGTCAGAGTCTATTCAGTTTGAATGAGGAGCATTTTAATTGTGTAGGCAAGCTCCAAGTTTTTAGTTTGGCTAGCTTTATCCAAATATAGAGGAAGCTTCTGTACACATGTGTCACAGCTGTGTGCTGAAGTTTGGCCACCCCACACCTTGTGGTTATAAAAACTGAGAATCCACCCTGTTTCTTAAATACTCCCACTGTCCTGTTACATCTGCTGCAAGATGTTTTGTTGTTACACTATTCCTTTCTACTTTGTTTTCCTTTGTATTCTTTCATTAATCCATAGCTGTGTCAACAGTGGTGACAATAACCTGACATATTTTACATTCAATATTTCTTCAGCTTTTCTACCAAAGAAATTCCCTGCTTGAAACATTACCATTTCAAAAGTTTTTGTGTTAGGCAGCTACTGTTGCATTTTTAAAAAGTTGCCATTGTACTTTAACACAAAAACATATACATATACATCTGACAGCAGTTGTGTATACAGGACAGATTTCTTTGGCATGTTAAAAAATTTCTTCCTGCATCTTACCTTCTTACTGGATCATGTGTACATGGAAGGAAACTCTTGGATGTTGCAGTCTTCTTTATGTACATGCAGGCAGCCTAATCCAGCTTTCCACATTCAATTCCTAGCAGTTGCTTACTAATATCACATAAAAAGTTGTCTTTGATATTTCCCCCTACTTTTAATGGATTATATTGAATGACATCTTGGTTTCATATAAGTTCTTGACTGATGTTGGTAACTGTTAAGGCAGCTTTTATTTAATGGTGACCCTATGAATATGACACCTCTGAGACACTCTGTCATCTATGGTCCTGCTCTGGTTCTTCAGACCCAGGGCTATGGTTTTCGATTGAATGTATCTATCTGCAATGCAGTCTCTTTTCCTATTGCCTTCCCTTTTCCTGAGCATTATTGTCTTTTTTGTGTGCCACGTCATCTCTATATATCCAAAATATGATAGCCTTAGTTGAGTCATTTTGTCTTCAAGGACTTAAGCCCATTCATTTGTCTTTTTGGCAGTTCATAGTATCGGTAGAACTCGGCTTAGGCATGACATTTCAAATGAGTTTATTTTCTTTCTGCTTTCTTCACTCTCCAGCGTTCACAACTATTGTGGTTGTTGTTAACTGCCCTCGACCCCAACTCATGGCAACCCTGTGGATGCATACAATCTCCCTCTTTTTCTACTTCATTCTACCTTTCCTAGCATTATTGTCTTTTCTAATGAGTCATGCTTTCTCATGGTGTATTCAAAGTACAACAGCCTCAATTTGATCTTCTTGACTTCCAAGAAAATTTCAGGCTTGATCTGTTCAAGGACCCGTTAGTTTGTCTTTTTGTCTGTCCACACTATTCTCAGCACTCTTCTCCAGCACCACATCTCAAATGAGTGGATACTCTTCTTATCCGCATTCTTCACTGTCCAGCTGTTTCATCCATATATGGTGATGGGGAATACAATGGCTTGGATGATTCTAACTTTAGTGTTAATTTCCTTATCTTTATTCTTTAGGATCATGAACTACTTATATCAAGAATCAGAGTAAAGCTGAAGAAGAAAACAAAACCAGTCATTATACCAAAATATGACCTGAACAATATCCCAACAGAATTACTGACAATGTAAGAAATAGATTTACATTATTAGCCATAATTGACCAAGAACCAGAAGAATTATGGGCAGAAGCCAAGGACATAATTAAGGAAGAATACAGGAAGACACTGTCAGTGTCTTAAGAGGAAAGAGAGGAAGCAATGGATAACAGATGAAACATTCAAAACAGTAAAAGAAAGAAGAGAAGCAAAAGAAAAAGGAAATAGGAACAAAACCAGAGCCATGAGTGCAGGCTGTCATACTTTGACCATATCATGAGAAGGCATGACTCATTAGAAAAGACAGTAATGCTAGGAAATGTACAAGGCAGAAGAAAGAGAGGAAGGCCACATGCTGGATGGATAGATTCAACTAGAGAGGACACAGGCATCAATTTGCAAGATGTGAGCAACGCAGTGAAGGATGGGGTCTTGGAGATGTCTCACTCACAGTGTTGCCTTGAGTTGGGGTCAACTTGGGGGCAGCTAACAACAAACTCTTTAGGATCTTGTCTAGTTCTTTCATAGTTGCCCTTCCCATTACTAGTCTTCTTCTGATATCTTGACTGCATTCTGCAGTCTTATTAATGTTTGGGTATAGAAACTCTTTTACTATTTTTATTTCCTAATTGTCTAGGTTGAATTGATCCATTTCTTTCATGGTCATTTTTGTTATCTTTATGCCTAGCTCTCCTACCAGGGTTGTGGTGGGTCAGAAATGTAGGGGAAGAGGAATGAGCACTAGGACATGTAAATAAATACAGAAGGAAATTTGGTGGGCCATGATCACTCAGTTACTTTGAACCTTGGACCTGGCATTCCTAGTATATCAACACAATCTTATAGATCAGTTCAAAACTTTGAAAGATTTGTATATTGTAAAAATCATTTGAATTAGGTGGGTATTTCCAATGGACATATGAGCTAAAGCTGCTTGCGGATTGCAAACTAAGAAAGTGTTTTGTTGTGGATTGCAAACTGGAAAAGTGTTAAGTCCAGGAGCTGCTTTGCTCTTTCTCTTGCTGTTTTAAAAATGTGTACTGTAAGTACTGTTGTCAGAATCAAGGTTGCATTGTAAGTACGTTTGTTCAGGAAGCAGGCCCTCAATCCTCATAAATAATGTATCACCAGAGACTAGAAATCTAATACAAGCAGAGACGGAATACATGAGGTGTTTCAGAACGCATGAAGTTTTTTCTCACTTTCTAAAAAATGAAATGGTTTAAACTTAGAAGTCTGTAACACAGGCCCTAGAGGATGAAGATATTTGCTCTGTAAATTTGAGGAGAATGGTAGTGATGAGCTGTTTTTATTCCTTTTCCTTCCTTTCCTTCTTCTTCTAGTTAAGTATGTCTTTACTTGTTCTATATTTTGAACTTGGGGATAAGATCAAAAGAGAGAAAATGTTTATATTG